ATCTATGTCTATTCTTACACTAAGACCACAATGTCCTGAACTACAGCAGAGTAAGGCTTCCAACTTCGTTCTTTTTCAAAGTTGAATATGCTAAGCTCCTTTTCATTTCCACATAAATTTTATAATCAATTTATAATTTCTATTAAAAAAAAGTCTGCTTGGATTGAGTGAGCTTCCACTGAGTAGGTGGATCAGTTTGAGAAAAAATGATACCTTAACAATATCAAGTCTTCTGATTCCTGAAAATAGTACCCTTTCCCATTTATGTAGTCTTGTATTTTTTTCTTGCCAAAATTCTGTGATTTTCAGTGTACAAGTCTTGCACATTTTTTACCAAGTTCCTCTGTGATGTTTCATAAAATTTTAAGGCTATACAGTAAATGGTGTGTTCTTCCAAGTTCAATTTCTAACTAATATTCAAAAGTATAATTCATTTTTATCTATCAAACTAGCTCACTAACAGGTTATTTAGGCTTCTTTTGAATTTCTTAATATGCATGATCATGTCATTGGTGAATAAAGATAGTTGACTTTTTCTTTACTACACTAGCTAGGACTTCTAATACAATGTCTGTAGAAGTAAGGGGAGGAAGGTAAATCTAGTTCCTATAACTCTAATATAGCCCAGAGCACAGCCTTTCTGGATGTTATAGAATTTGCCCTGCATGTTTAAATCTTTAAAGTAGCTGGAATATAGTAACTAGTATGAAAAACAGGCATCTATCTACAAGTACCTGTTTCTAACAGATAGCCAAATGTCCCAGCAGTATTTAATTCTTTGCCCACTGACCTACATTATTTGTTAATCCCCCACATGTACGTACTTTGATTTCTAAACTACCTGACCCTGTTCACCTACCCCAGACCAATACCAATTCCAGGATCTTGCTGAAAGATCTCATCCATCTCATTTCAAGTAGCTTTACATGCTAATAATGCCCAAATCTCTTTGTCCACCCAAAAATTTTCACTAATCTCAAATTCCTATTTTCAACTATCTCATTTGATTTGTATAAGATATTTCAAATTTTAAATGTCTATAAAAATTAAATTTCTAATACTCAGCCGTTGCTAACCTGCTGCTTCCTTTCTTCAATAACTGGAGATTCTGGTCTTCCTTGTGCTCAGTTAAACATCCCTCCCTGGCTACCTCACACCCACACCCTCAGAAAACCCTGACCACTTTAAAAATGCATGGAAAAATGAACTATTTACTTAGCTACCATCTTTACTGCCCTGACCCAAGTCAGTATCATCTCTCACCCTGGATTATTCCAACAGTCTCTTCCCTGCCTTCCCACCTCCAAACCTGCCCTCCTACAATCTATTCTACTCACACATAGGCAGATTATATCCTGCGCCACATGTCAGATCATAACACTGCTGTCTTCTAAATCTTCCCACAGCTTCCCACTTCACACAGGTAACAGCTCTATGAAAACAGACTTTCCTGATTCTTTCCATTTTCTTCAGTGCTCTACATCCCTAGTCCTTGGAATATTACCCAACAGGCAAATAATAAATAGTTGTTGAGTGAATGAATGTCTTTAATTACCACAGGTTCATAATTAGTCCTTTTATCCAGCAGAAGAAGACCCCCAAGTTCTCTTCCCCTTTAAAATTCTGAGCCACTGACTCTCCTCTACAAATTTAGCATCATCTAGTCAAGTTCTACAGAAACCCTGAGAACTTCAGCTAGGATTGCTTTCAATTTATAAAATACTGTAATCTGAAGAGAACAGTTCACTTTTCAGTGTTGAATTCCTCTACACCAAAAACATGGTAGGGGTCTGTCTGTCTTGCTGTCTCTGTCTATGTGTGTCTCTCTGTCTCTTTTTTATGTCCTTCACTTGTATTTACAATTTTCTCCACTAAAAAGCAAGCATCTTTCATCAAACATATTCCTACATTTTGCCATTACCATGAACATTAACTTCTCTAAAAATTACATTTCCTATCACAAATTGTCAAACTCGCTTGTCTTGTTCCACCTTAACTTAAAACATGCGTAAGTTTCTTTTTGCCTAAAAAAAATTAAAAAATAAAAAATTCCACTCAAAGGTGAGGGGGTAACTCAGTGGCAAAGCACTTGCCTGCCACACACAAGGCCCTGGGTTTGATCCCCAGCACCGAAAATAACAACAAAGCTCCACTGGGCCACAGCGCCATCCCTCTGTTCTTAAATGGAAGAAGTGTAGTTAAGAAGTGCTATTTCCACTTCTTCACTTCCTGCTCAATCTTTAACTCCTTAACCCAGTATTTTTTGGGGTACTAGGGATTGAACTCATGACCTTGCACTCGAGGCAGGCAGCAGCACCACTGAGCTAAATCCCTGGCTCCCTTAACCCAGTTTTTATCCAACTAGCCAGTGGAAATTGCTCTTTCTACAAGTCCACTGAGCACCGACTCCTTGAATTCCACAGCCCTGTGTATTTATCTCTCTTTGCCTCAGTTGTGCAAGACACCGATATATCCTACTCTTTTATTCTACATTCTCTCTCCTTTCAGATTCCATGAAACTAAAAATGTTTCACTTCCTTCTCCTGAGTGCCTTCTCTTCTGCATCCTCCAATTTCTCATCTATTTTTTATTCCAGGAAGAATCTATATCTGTCCCAGGGATTCAGAGAAGGTCTCTCTCAGGAAGCAAAGTTTGAGCCTGCTCCTGCAGTGAAGCTATTTTACAAGATGGACCAGCATTTCTGGCATAGGAGAGCATATGCAAGGTGAGAACAAGATAATTAACTAGACAGTCTTGAAGAGTCTGGGGTACCTACAACTATTGTGTCCAACATGGTAGACAGTAACCATATGTACACAACTACTATGTGAAATGCAGCTTGTGCAAAATGAGATGTGCTGTAAGTGTAAAATAAACACAGATGTTGACTCGGTAGAAAAAAGGTATGCAAAATCTCATTTGATTTTTTCACTGATTACATATTGCAATGGTACTTTGGATATACTGCTTTAAGTAAAATACATTAAGATTAATTTTATCTGCTTCTCACTTTTAATGTGGCTACTAGAAAACTTAAAATTACATGTGTGACTACCATTATATTTCTGCTGGACAGTGATAATCCAGAGTATAAGGCCAGTCAAGGCAAGGGAGGAGAAGGAGGAGGTTCTACAATACATTTTCTTTTTACTCTGTTAACGTCAATAAAAGTCCAGGTCCTAATTACTTCTCACCTAGGATTATTTCGATGGTACTACCAGTCCCTTTCTATTTTCTTGGGCTTATCACAATCTATGTCAGGCACTATAATCACATTAATCTTCAAAAAGCACCTTGTCCCTCCAACTGCTCAGTCGTTTCTCATTTAGGGTTCTTGGGACCTAGGTTTAAAAGTCTGATACTATGGCATACTTCATGGCTTTCTGCTATACAAGTCTAACCTGTATTTCTAGGACTACCTAATACTTCTATGCCCTTATCTGTGCCAAAATGGAGATGTCACCAAAAGTCAACTTATATTTTTCATCTTAATTCTTTTATGATCTTCTCTCTGCCTAGAACACCATTTACCAAATTCGTATCAGAATCTTCTTAGTTAATAAAGGTAATGTTTAAAAAGAAGCAATGTTGGGCTGGGAACTTAGCTCAGTGGTTCTGCTGCCTGCCTCACAAGCGCCATGTCCCAAGTTCAATCCCTGGTACCAAACAAAAAGGAAGCAATATGTGAAGGGGTCATTTTGTTAGAGGTACAAATATAGTAGAAGCATTTAGAGATGATTTTTTTAATCCTACTAGGATTTCAGACTGTTTTATCAAATATTCACCCCTTCATGAAACACTCTTTAACTACTCCAAACCTGCAGCTGATACGCAAGCCCTCCAAGATGTTATGCGCTGCTCCTCCAAGTGCTGGCTGAGCTACGAGGAAGGTGTCAGCCTTGTCCTTAGGAGTTCAGCCCCATGAGAAACAGCTCCGTAAACCAACAATTAGGATGGAGTGCAATTTAGGCTGTGACAGAAGTGAACACAAAACCCTGAGAGAGCACTGACGAGTCCCAGTCCAGGTTGGCAACAGGCAGCAAAAGCCACCAAAAAGGTGACAGGAAAGACCCCAGTGGAATGCTCTCCTTTTGAACAGCCCGGAGCACCCTTTCTCTTCTGTCTTTGCTATAGTTCTTTGGTATAGTTCTGTCTTTGCTACTGTGTGCATCTACGTGAATTCTCATTACTCACACACCGCTTACCGATGTGCCAACTTGTAAAAGTCACCAAAATCACCACTTGTGGCAGTTTCTCAGTCATCCACGGACATTCCCAGGGTGGTGAAAACTGAGCTGCCCAACGCTCACTTTCCCAGCTTGTTCTACAAACTGAAGCGGAGTAAGGTGCACTCCGCATTCTTGTTTTAGCGCTCAGAAGAGACAATGACACCGTTGCAGTGAATGTATTTAGGACACATTTTTGTTGTTTGCTGGGATTTTACTGCTCCAAATGGCCTCAAAACATAGTGCTGAAGGGTTGCACTAGACTGTGATAGGCTTTCCAGAGAACTAAGTTAGAGATGCTTCATTCCGGCCTGAGTTATGATAGTGTTGCTCACGACTTGAGTGTTACAAAACAATTTATCCCAAACAAGTAAAGTGTGGATCAGCAGATCAAAATGTTGTGACTAGAGTTGCACAGGAACCTAACCCTGAATTTCCCTTAAAGAGCAGTGTTTCAGAATTCCTTAATTCAGCACTGGTGGCAACTTTGTAGAACTTGAGTACTGTAAAAAATGAGAAGCAATCAAATTTATCTGTCCCTTGAGGGTAGGATCTATCTTAGTCATCACTGTTCAGAGTAGTAGGTAGGCTTTATTAAATAGTTAAGTCTTAAATGAGAAGAAAATTAGTAAGCTTACTTTGTGAATGCCTTGACCTCAAAATTAGAGACCACAAAGTTTAACAAAGGCTGGATACTATGAGTAACTTTTTATAGTATTGGCTTCATTTTATAGCTTCAAAATGACCAACAATGGCTATCATCAGCATGCTTACCATTTTTGTTCTTCAGATTAGGGTCTGCTCCACTTTTGAGAAGCTTTAAGGCACACTGCTTATGGGCCCGGTAAGCCGCACAATGCAAGGGTGTATTTCCTAACTGATCCGCACAGTTAACATCAGGAGGATTGGGCCTGTTGAGCTGATCATTAAAAGAAATGCAACACAGAATTACATATCAAAGATCCACTTTCCTCCCATGATACACAGGAAGGTATTTCAAGCAGACCTGGGAGAACAGCTGGGCTCCTTGGCACTTGGACTATACACAGCATCTTGCTCACTAAACCAGCCAACCCTGACACTCCTGAACTTGTCCTCCAGTGCCACAAGACCTAGGGCTGTGCCTATGCCCCACACTGCCTGATGACAGACACCACACACACTGCCAGCACTGCGCACTCACACCTCACAGCTAGATTTCACTAAGATTTGCTCGCTCCTAGCAGGCTTGCGTTTCACACCCATCATGGTGAGACTACAAATCAGGCTATCCTAAGCAGCCCAGAGAAGAGGTAAACCATAGATTTTTAAATATGTAAATGTCAAAAGTTATACTGAATTTGTTGTTCCCACCTTACTGCTTCAAAAACTTCTTTATATAGTTTCCATTTCACAACATTTTAAAAATGTTTCAGAGGCACTATACTTAGAAACGGAAGAAGCCTTTTCAAATAAGCTGAAATAACTTCAAAGCAAATGGCAATGTCTCAGTCTTGAATTCAGAACAAATTTAGAGTTTCATGTTTAATGAGACATTGCAGGAAATGGAAAATGAAAAGTAGGTCTCCTAGGACAAAAAAAAAGTGGGCAAAGCTGTCGGTCTGTTCTAACATGATATAAATATTCCAAAACACTGTCCCTTCTCTGTATGCTCTAGATGGACGGCATTCCTTTCAGTAATTACTGTTCCTCAAAATTTAGAAAAACATATTCCTTCATGGGGTCTTACATATTTTGTTTCAATTTGGCTTAAAAACGTTTAAAGTTGTCCTTACATTAACTATATGCTATAAAAAACTAGATTCTTATCCAGCAGCTTTCAGTAAGGGATGAAGATGTAAGTCAAATTCAGGGAGGGGGGACAACCAGTATTTAAAATGTATCCTGTTTAAACCATCTTTTTTACCTTTATTAAATTTATTGGTACATATTATGTATACAACACGGTTACATTCATCATTGGGATCTTGTACCTATACATGACTTATCAGGTTCTTATTTTTCCCCATTCCCCAGCCCTCCCACTCTTCCCTGTTTACAAAAACATTGTTTCCATGTTTTCCCTTTTTACCTTTTCCCTACTCCTCCCACTTCCTCTACTTGTTTAGACTTTTCTTCCTATTACACAATATCAATTATATATTTTAATCCTTATTTACACTTTTAGTTTTTCACACCAGAGAAACTATTCGGTGTTTATACATGTGTAACTTATTCATTTCACTTGAGTATGGTCTCACTCAAAGTGCATCCACTTAGCTACAAATCTCTAGTTTCTCATTCTTTATGGCTGAGTAGTACTCCATTTTATTTTAAAAAACATCTTTATCCAGTCTCTAGCTGATGGGCAACTGGGCTGTTTCCAAGTCTTAGCTATTACAAACTGTGGCACTATAAACATGAGTGAGCATATATTGCTGTGAAATGATTCTTTTCACTTTTTTGGGAAGATACCCAACAGAGGAATAGCTGGGTGAAACGGGACTTCTAATCCTAGTTGTCTGAGGTATCTCCATATTGATTTCCATAGTAGTTGCACCAGTCTGCACTCCCACCAACAATAAAGGATTCCTATCTCCCCACAACCCCAGCAGCATTTGTTATTGGTTGATTTCTTGATAGCAGCCATTCTTGCAGGGGTGAGGTGGAATCTCAGTGTTGTTTTCATCTGCGAATGACCAGTGATGTTGAACATTTTTTCATATGTTTATTTACTGCTTTTACTTCTTTGTCTGAGAAATGCCTGTTTATTTCAGATACCCATTTTTTAAATGGGTCTTTATATTTGGGGGGGATCTGATTTTTTTGAGTTCTTTGTATATTCTAAATAGTAGACCTTTGTCTGAGGAACAGCTGGTAAAAATTTTTTCCCACATTGTGGGTTGTCTCTTAGCTCTGCTTGTGATTTCTCTGGCAGTGTAGAAGCTTTTTAAAATGAAATCCCAACTGTTGATTCTTTGTGCTAGTTCCCACGCTACTGAGGATTTGTTCATAAAGTCTTTTCCTATGCTGCTACCTTCAAGAGTTCTACCTATCTTCCAGCAAGTTTAGTGTTTCGTTTTTAACACTTATATCTCTATTCAACATGGATTTTAGTTTAGTGCATGGTGAAAGATAAGGGGCTAGTTTTACTCTTTGACAAGTTGAAATCCAGTTTTTCCAACATCATTTATTAAAGAGTCTTTCTTTCCTCCAGAGAGGGTGTTTGGCTCCTTTGTCAAAGATGAGGTAGTTGAGTATGTCAGATGTTTCTGCATCTTCTAATCTATTCTACTAATCCTCAAGTCTGTTTGCCAGTACCATGATATTTTTATCACAGTGGCTTTGGAGTATACTTTCAATCTGGGGATTGTGATACCCACTGCCATGCCTCTGTTGCCTAGAATTGATTTTCCTATTCTAGGTCTCTTCTGTTTCCAAATTAATTTTCAGATTGCTTTCTCTAGTTCTATGAAATAAACTGTTGGGATTTTAATAGGGATTGCACTGAATCTGAATAGCAGTTCTGGAAGTATGACCATTTTCACTATATTGATTCTTCCCACCCAAGAACAAGGGATGTTTTTCCATTTTCTTATATCCTCTTTAATCTCTTTTTTAGTGTGCTGTATTTTTCAGTGTAGAGGTCTTTTGTCTCCTTTGTTAGATTGATTACCAGATATTTAATTTTTTTGGATGCTATTTTGAAAGGGATTATTTCCCCTATCTGACTCTCAGTGAGATGGTTATTTGTGTACAAGAAGGCTACTGATTTTTGAGTATTTACCTTGTATAGAGCTACCTACTGAATCTGTCAATCAAGTCTAGAAGTCTTTTGGCGGAGTTGAGTTGTCTATGCAGAGTATGAGATCATCAGCAAATAATGACAGTTTCACTTCTTCATTTCCTATCTTTATTGCTTTTATTTCTTTCTCTTGTTTAATTGCTGTGGCTAATGTTTCCAAAACTAAACTATTACCACCTCAATGTTGCTAGATATTTAAGGACATTTGTGCCTTTATTGTGATCTCTGAAAGTTTTTTGACTCCACAATTCATTAAATTATGAACATAACATTAAGTAAAAAATTCCCAAAATATAAAGAAATAATGCCTTTGGTTTGTTGTTTTACCAGAGTTGTGAGATCTGCTATTTTGCCTTCTCTTGCTGCTGCTAAGAGCAATTCTTCAAGTTTTCTTTGTTGAGTCCTTTCTACTGCTGCAAAAAGAAAAACATATATATATGTTTTACTCTACCGCTAGTCAGGATCTTACTAGCAAGTTCATTATAAAGATGCATAAAAAAATAAGTGACCTAGTGAGAAAAATAATGTTATTAACTATAATTTAAACACAAGCTATGTTATTCTCACTGCTTTCCACTGCCGATGAGTCTGATTTCCTTTGGACTGGGATGAAATTAAGTTTTCAATTCAGAGGGCTTTAGGTGTTTTACTTACAATAATACTCAATGCAAATTATGAATTACTTTTCCATATTGAAATACTATTATATATTTGCTTTGGACAGGTAGGCAACTGGGGTCCATACCTTCCAGAATCTTACAATGAGAAAAGTAACAATATTGGAGCTGGGTGTAGCAATACAGGCCTGTAATCCCAGCTGAGGCAGGAAGATCACAAACTCAAGCATAGTTTGCGTAACTTAGCAAGGCCCTGTCTAAAAATATAAATAAATAGTGAGTTGGGGATGTAGCTCAGTGCAAAGGCCCTAGGTTCATTCCCCAGTACCAAAAAAAGAAAAATTATTTAGGTAGAAATATACAATATCAATTTACTTACTTTCATTTAAGGATATAAAATTAATTTTATTTAACAAATACCACAGCACTTACTATATGCCACAGACTCTCTACATAGATGTAAGCTCTCAATATTTTCTTTGTTTCCTGGGAATCACTGGGTTCCTTAGTTTTTTCCTCTGATTCTACAGCACTAAACTGTAAGCTCTTCAAGACTGGTGGCATCCCTACCCCTCTTGTCCATACTTCTACTACTGTATGTGTTAATCTGAGCTGTAATTTATTCCCTCAGTCCACAGGTACCATATCTGTGGATTCAACCAGCACAGATTGAAAATATTTTTTAAAAAATCTGTGTGTACACATGTACATATTTTTTATTATTTCCTAAACAATACAGCCTAACAACCATTTACATAGTATTCACATTGTATTAGGTATTACAAGTAATGTAGAAATAATTTAAACCACACAGGAGGATATTCTTCTGTTATATACAAATATATTGTATATAAGGAATGTGAACCTCTGTGGATTTTGCTATACTATGATACCCTTGAACTAATTCACCACAGATACTAAGTAACAACTAAACTTATGTGGTTATGTAATAAAACATCCTTGTTTTTAAGAAAAACATGTCAAAGTATTTAGGGGTAAAGTATCACTGTGTCTGCAAAGTTCTCTCATATGCGTCACCAGAAAAAAATAAAAAGTAAAAAACATAAATCATATATAAAAGGATAAACCAGATGCAACTAAATGCTAGTAATTGTTGAATCTAAGTGAAGGATTCACAAGTGTTCATTGTATCTTTTTCCTTTTTGGTGGTAATGGATATTGAACCCAGGAATGCTGAGCTACACCTCAGCCGTTTTTAAAATAGAGCCTCGCCAGGGACTTAGATCAGTGGTTCCGGCGCCTGCCTCAGAAGCACAAGGGTCCGAGTTCCATCCCTGGTACCAAAAGAAACAAACAAGATAGAGTCTCACTAAGTTACCCGGGCTGGCCTAGAACTTAGAATCTTCCTGCCTCAACTTCCCAAGTAACTGGGATTACAGGCATGAGTCACCACACAAAGCACGTATTACCCCTAATGTATATCCATAAATTGGAAATTTTTCAAAATAAAAAAGCAAATAAAAGAGAAAGAAGGTTTTCTCCAACGAGAGACGAGTACTAGTCTATCCTCTCCCCAAATACCTGTAGTCATGGAAAACTCACTACACCTTTAAAGGCAAGCTACAACATTTTTAACAACACACTGCACCCTAAGACAAACTTCATGGGTCTCCATCAACTGCACCATCCACTTGCTGTGGTTCTGCCACAAAAAAGATCATCCCTCTCTCAAACCGCAGTTCTTCAGATATTCAGGTATGATTTCGTTGTGCCTCCCTATGTTAGTCTCTCTGGGGTAAAACATTTCCTACTTCTTTGTACATTATCTATTACCTGGTTTCTGCATGTACTTCCTGCAGTTCCCAAATTGATACACTCTATGGCTCTATGCCATGAATGGTTCTACATCCAGCTAAGGTGATCTCATTAAAATAGATCATTATCTCTTGCCATTACTTTCTAAACAATACAGTATAACAACTGGAAATGGTCAGATGATTCTGTATTTCCCAGGCTAGACCCACATGACCTGACAAAACATATTAACTGTAAAATTAACTATACCCTTGCCCTTGGACCCTTTGGCATTTGGAAAAAGCCTTACAGCATTCTTTACAGTTTTCCCCTTTCAAATGTCAGCTTGTCAGACTAACTTAACATTCCAGTCTGTCAGGAAAACTTCAGTTCTGGGTTCTCATCTTGATACATTAAAATGATACTATAGGACCAAAGACAGCCGCCTCAACCTCTCAATTAAATAACATTCATTAAAGGGCAGGGACCACATATAATATATTCTGCATGTCCCAAAAATCATGATACAGTGCCTCATAAAAGATGTTAGATGTCTATGTGCTTTTCTGTTGACAATTAGTTCATTTTAAATGCAGGAACAAGTGAAGACACTGATCTTGTCTGACAAGCAGAAGCTATTCTGTAACTACAGAACAAGTGAGAAGAGTTCAATTCTCAAGCCCAAGTGGAAAACAGTAAAACTGCAGGGCCTGGGTTTTTATACAGATAAAAACACCAATAATAAAATTAATAAATCAAAACCCTTTATATACAAAATAACATCTCTCCCATCTCTTAATTTCGAGGAAAAGAAAAATGGGACACTAGAAACTAAAATTCAAATTCAGTATCTTTATTCATAAAGTAGAAACTGAGGCTCTTATTTTCTCTATATTAGAAATACTACCCAAAAATAATTATTGCAAATCCTGGCCAGTTAAAGAAAAATACTATTGCATAAGTATTTCCCAATATAAGTATGGAAATAAATCTTTTTTAAAATTTTTGGAACTGGGTATTGAACTCTCAGAAAGAAATATTCTTGTTTCAAAGTATTTTACAGAAATCCCTCTGAGTTATTACAAGCTCACAGGTCTAAAATGCAATTTAATCTCTGACTACCTAACGATGATGCTGATCCATCAAGAAATTACTGTCATCTGTTAATACTACAGTGAAGCCCTCAGGAAGAAAGAGCCACCACAACCAGCTCCCCACTACCACAGGAGCCCAACTGCTACAAGCTTCTCTGTCTGACTCTTTGGTTTTCCTTTAAAATCAAGCTTTAGGGCTGGGAATTTAGCTCAGTGGTGCCAGCGCCTGCCTGGCAAGCATAAGGTCGTGAGTTTGATCCCCAGAACCTAAATAAATAAATATCAAGCTTTATCCACTTATTGGCCATATTCCCTCATGTTTCCCTTTTAGTTTGGCTTTTGGGAAGAGTTTAAAAGCTACAGCTGAGGAAACTCTCATATAGATATATACTAGTCTAAACAATTACTCCACAATGACAGTATCAGTAGAATATACTAATATGGCTGTCATCTATTTTGATACTTCAGAAGTCGATTTACTCATATTCTAGACCTGAGCTATAAAGTAAATTTATGTTAATATTCACAGTATTTACCTTCAAGCATGTTCCTGATTTCTTTGTCATGAGTGGCTTCTTTTGCTGTCTGTCCACTCCCATTTACCACTGTAGTATCAGCATTATATTCTAAGAGAAGCATCACCAACTCCTAAATAGAAAAAAAAAAAATTCAGCTGTTATTAAGCTACAACTTTATTGCATTACAACTGTTTCTCAAATTACAAATGCCTAGTATTTCTATAATGAAAAAAGTACTAAGAATCTCTAGCACATCAATTATTCTACACTAAGTATTCAACCAATTCTGATAACTAATAACTGCCCAAATAAATATTAATTCATAATACTCAGCCTTAGTCTGTTGAAAACAAAGTTTTATATTATCCATTTCTTATTTTATAGGAATCTCTGAGGCTTACAGCATGTACTCTGAGTTTATTACTTTGACGATGATACATACTGTAATAACTATTATTTGCTTATATTTGAATTGTCGTAAAAATAAATTTAATAATTAAAGAACAAACCCATAGCCAACTTCTATAATTATTTTTTTCTATAATTATTTTAAAGTAAAGTTTTTACCAAAACTTTAGTTTTACTATATTGTTTTATTAAATTCATGTGGTCAAACTAAAGGTGCAAGTAGACAAATCCATCATTTAAATTAGAACATGCTGAGCTGCTGGGCGTGGTGGTGCACACCTGTAATCCCAGCACTCAGGGAGGCTGAGGCAGGAGGATCACTGTGAGTTCGAGACCAGCCTGGGCTACACAGTGAATTCCAGGTCAGTCTCAACTACATAGTGAGACCCTGTCTCAAAAAAACCAATCAATCAATAAATAAATAAATAAAAATTGGAACATGCTGTATATCTACTTAATTGCATTTCTTAATGGGCTATTAAGAAAAGTAATTTGTCCAACAGACTTAGTTTTTCCAACTTAGACACTCACAAGAAATACAGAAGTATTCTCTGAAGTGACAGAGACTAACAGGATACACCACTCCTGAAGGAGTAGTACATAGGAAGTGACCTCCTAACATCAATATTCAACAACGCAGAATATTATTCATGTTTATTCCTAACTGGTTTTTTTAGAAATTTCAAGTTGGTAATGTACGTAAGTCCAGATCACTGAGTCAGTTCACAATTAAGACAGCAGACAATAGCAGGCAATATCAGAAATCTGATTTTTCTTTTTTTGAGATTCATGGCCACTGGTTAGGGCTGCTGGCAACACCCATCCTTGGCCCCACATTAAGTGCTCTTCTAACTCCCACGCTGCTGGTGCTAATGACCTGAAGGAACATCTTCTCATATTCTAGGACTTGCATCTTTCCTCTGGGTCATAGAATTAATTATTTTATTTTTATGGTTAAAAAAATGCTTAGATAACATCTAAAAGAATACAATAAAAAGAAAATACTGCACTCATTCTCCTAGTCACCTATGGCCAACATAAACATTTTGGTGGATTTCTTTCAAATAATTTTCCTATACATAATTTTCAGATTTTCTTAAACGTAATTTACTCATTTGAGATAGTTGTTTTGTTATATGCCTTTCACCTAATACATATCTTCCATTACATTATGCAGTTTATAAACACTGTTCATAGCTATTATTCTATAAAATGTTCTATGTTTTGAAAATAGGGAAATAGTTAAGAAATTTCCTATTGTTTTGCTAAAGTGAATTCTTACAAAATACCTTAACATTTCCTATCATTTTACAGAGAACATTTTGGAAGAAGTATTTTTAAACTTCACGTAAGTATTTCATAAAAGGAGAACAATCCACAGAATGGTAAAAATGATTTACAAATCATATCTGATGAGAGACTTGTATATAGAATATATAAAGGAACGTCTACCACCTGCCAATAAAAAGACGAATAATCCAATACTAAAATGGGCAAAGGTAGCAATGAGCTATCTAAAAGGGAATCTAGGGATGGTACCGAGACACCTCTGCTTTCCGAAGCCCTACATGTGAAGGCTGTAAGCTCCCAGAAAGGTGAAATCACATTACAATGGGTTCTCACTCCGAGAATCAAAATCAAAGGATCAGAAGGTAACTCAAGAGTCCGGTGACTGGATCTCTACCACACTGGCATCAACTAAACACCGAAAGGGACATCACTGCCTGTTTTTAATAGGTCAATGGACAGCATAGGCTTTAATTTTTAAGAGTGCTACAGAATAAAAAATGTTCAAAAAAGCTAGTTTCCTTTAAGCCTAAATGTGCTTCAACATGCCCAAATTAAAGACCATCCTGTTTTCTTTAGCACCTGTGCAGATAACAACTTTATCTCTCAAGATCTGGGATTCTGGGGCTGGAACTCACATACTGCATGCCAAAGGCCCTGAGTTCATCCCCCAAACCATAAAGGGGGCCTGGAATTTTCATCTAGTCCAAGGAGTCTGTGGTGTTCGAAGTCCAATTACACCTTCTTCTCTCCCTTTCATCACCGAGTATGTTGTGCTCTTCTGAACCTCAGGCATCTCTCCACATCCCTTTTATTAATTATTCTCGCAACACGCTTATGTGCTTAACGCTATACAAGCCTCTACAGAGAAAACATTCCTAAATATTCAATACTGAAGGGATTTTAATAGAGAAAGCTGTGACAAAATTGGGTCTGAGCTAGGATGCTGACTGGGGCACCTGCAGAGGATGGAACTGAGAGTAGCAGGTCAGGAAAATGACTGTGGCGTGAAGCAATATAGGTTAAATGCCATGAGTATATTCCCAAGTGCTGGCAGTAGAAAGGAGGATTTACAGTGAAAATGATTTCAAAAATCAATTCAAATATTGCACAGGGCCCAGGCGTGGAGGAAGATGGGTCCCATCTTAGATGCCTGAAATTTCAGAAACCTGAGGGGCAGCATGGAGCTGACCAAAGGCTCTGGCTGCCTCAGAGAAGTGTGAGGTGAAATTACGGATTTCCAGAACCCTAACCCCGGAAGAAAGAAAAAAAAAAAAAGCCGGAAGCAAGAGTAGATTGGTTCATGGAGGAGAAAAGTTTCCAGAGAAAGAGGAAGAACATTTAATACGAAAAAGACAACAGGATATGTGTAAAGAAGAGTGTCATTTTAGGGGAAAAAAAATATGTCAGGATCCACAAAAGCATCCAGAGAAGTATCAAGGGAAAGAGATGGTGCAAAGCCTCCTCTGAGAAGGATCAGCTTGGTTAGAAGTGCTGCTGCAGAAAAATCTGAAAACAGAAACTTTTATACTTAGGAAATACTGATGGCTTTTCAAAATATTCCAAATACTGGTGGAGCAAAGACCCAGACTAGAAAGGGCACTAAGGAAGTTGAGGAAGAGAGTGTAGATATATTTCAATGATTATTTTAACATCGGGGCTCAGACAAGCTCCTGCTCACAGAAGGCTTCCAACCCAACCTCTAGCATTTGCCACCCCTCACTCTGACACCCCTGCTCGATGTACAGACCTCCTGCACTTCCACCTCCTGTATTCTGCGCATCATCACAATTCTGAAGGGTGTGGTCTATTTTCTTCACCACTGGACCCCTGCATCTGACACAGTGGCTAATTATATTTGCCTGTGTATTCCTAAAGACTTTTGCTTAAAATACTGCTGGCCTGAGAAGCGTTTGGAACATTTGTCAAATAAGAAGTTACAGGAGTAAAGTATTAGCCTTGAGCCTGAAATTATATATGTATATATTTTTAGTAGGTTGATATTATAACATTTATTAAAATAATGCTATGGGTTAATAGAAACAGTAAAGAACCAAAGTTAAAATGCAAGCCATGTAAAATTCCAACTAAAACTCAAACCTGTCTAACATATTCATTCATTAGCTAACTAAAAGCCCAAAAGAGACAAAACATTCAGTATAATAAAGTACTGCAAAACAACTGGAAATTTTCAGTTATCAAAACTGTGGGTTTTGCATTTTGTATCCTTTTCTCAATCAAGAAAAAAATTCTTTTTGAATGTTATATAATATACATATAAAACAGGATAGAAAAATACATTATAACTTGTAACAATAGCTGTAAATACATTATCCTACATGGTTCTCATAGCTAATAGGTTGGTTATGGTATATACACAGCATGAAACTATTATGGTAATAAAGAATAGACAAAAAATACATGTCAGCTGTATAACATACAAGTGGCACTACCGTCTACCCATGCTAAAAATTACATAATACTGTCAGAAAAAAAGTCTTAAAAACTACAATAAGAAATAAATTTTAAAAAATAATACTGAGAACCAAGGCATTCAGAGATTTCAAAAGATGTGTTTTATTTTCAGTTGATCTGAAAATTTTTCACCTAAGTTTTCAAACATTTGTTCTGAGCCAACATTACTTGTAAATGTCACATATTTATTATTTCACAAATTACTTCCCCCTACCATAAAAGACCTTTGATAAACATCTAAAATGTCCAGGTATAACCCGGTTTGAGATGAAAATGGATCAATACTGGTATCGTTTTTAACTATCACCTCCAGTGTTTGAGTGTCGCAAATTTATTAAACCAACCAAACACAATAAAAATCAAAATGGCACAGCATATATTGTAAATAAATCAAAACAACTGTCAACTGTGTGTGTAACAGAAAGACGAAGCAGTGGCACATTAAACCAAAGTTAGCTGAGTATGAAAGAATGACTGTCCAGCCGGGGGTTTAGCTCAGTGGTTCTGCCGTGTGCCTTGCAAGCACAAGGTCTGAAGGTCGATCCCCAGTACGAAAAAAGAATGTCTATTGCATGGTACATAAACTGAAAACAGTTCCAAGTGAGACAGATAATGGAGGGGTCACCATGAAGGTGCCAACTGAGCTTCCTGCTGACCTTGACTGTGAAGCTTTGAAGGTGTGGGAGATGGAATGAGCTGATGAGCTGGAAGTCCACTGCCACTTGAGATCTGCCATCTCAAGTGGCTTGGTACGGAACAGTGAATGATTATTTCCTCAAGTGTTTAGGGATAGGCTTTGCACACAGATTGTTTTAACTGCAAAACTGACTGCACTTCATGAGAAACTGGAAGCTTAAACTGAAATGCAGTTAAGTGTTTACATACACAGTGATGCTATTTTTCCACATTCTTTTAATGTTAAAAAAAGGGACAAAAATATATATGTATATGTATAGAAGG